TGTTTTATGTATTTACGGAGGAAAGCATTTTTCGACTTAAACCCCTTGGGGGGGGCGGACAGGTGGGGGGGGGGGGGGGGATCGACAAAGGGGCCGACAGAAACGAAGCAACAATTTTACAGCAACCGATAGAGGCATAAGGATGACGATCAGGAAGTGAACCGGGACAATGACCAAGACACAGATGCAGGCGGTGTGTGGGGGGGGGTGCTCAAAATAGCATGTGGTAGAGAGGAGTGTGTGACTATGAGGTCACCTCCTCCGAGGGACAAAAGGCTTTAGGGCCCGCCTCGTCCATAGCACCAGCCGCATCATGCCGCCGTTCTTTGCGTGTTAACTGCGCTATTCTTTACTCATCCCATGTACCCTTTATGCCCACGCGTCTCCGACGTACTCTGTACGCCCGTCCGGTCACGTCGTGGTCACATGGTACACATCTATCGAGAGAGGGACAGCAGGAACTGAACGACGGTCGAGGCTCAGCCCTTGTACAGCACCTCCGATACTCCTCCGTTGCACGTTTACATTCGTCAAGCGATGTGTACCACCACCATCATCGCCATCACCATTGCGACGATAAACAAAAAACATCATGTATTGTTGTGAAAAAAGACACGTCGACAAGTATGTACTATACGACATAAAGCGAGTATTTCAGATGGATCCAACCTATGGGGGGAGGAGTCTGAAATTGGTGTTTATTGGAGTTGATGAGAAGTGAGCATTTATTACTATGTGCCAAAGAGGATGTCTGCGTGCGTATAGAAGAGGAGTCATGCGCACCGAGAGAAGGCAGCTGCTCGCAGGACATTCCGTTTGCGCCCGATCACGTTGAAGCATCATCAGTGCTGGAGCACAGGGACTGCTAAACGTACGAGTGGACAACACTGCCAGCTACTAAACCGATCATCGACCGTGGTATCAACTCAAAATAAGACAAATTCACGGTGAACACGTAATTGGACAAATACCACGGCATCTAGACCCGCCGCCTCCCTGGTGAGGAGCTATCATCCACAGTGTCACGCAATAGGGCAGCTTACCGGCGAGGACATCTTCTCCAGCTCCAGTTCTACGTCGTAGATTATGGCACCCGTGGTCCAGCCGTGGAGCTTGCGGGCCTCCACGAGATCGGCCCAAAGAGAGTCCCCGAAGTAAAGCACGGAAGGACCCTCCCACCCTGGTGGTGTTGTCCCGCAAGAGGCAGCCAAGCCAGCACGCGAAAAACAAAAGAGAGGGAGTGCAGACAAGCTTGAGACTGGCAAGTACGCTAAAAGAGATTCCCGCCCCTCCCTCCCCCCCAGCCCCAAGCACGGTTCGAATCTAGGTAGACTGCCGTTTGATCATCCGCGTTGACCGTTTAGCCCCACGGAGAAGGTATCTGTCGACGTTGAACTTCTCTCTGTGTTGAAAACTGAAGCCTCCAATCCAACGTGATCGTCCAGTGCTTTCTCTCTCTTTCTCAAACCCCCTCACCAGTAGTTGTCACAAAAACAGGACCGCTGCCCTGTACGACAAGAGGAGCACGACAAGAACGGACACGTCTGGCGCCGCACGCCCCCCCCCCCCTCTCGCCCCTCTCGCCCCTTCTTGCCCCCTGTTGGGAGCATCTCTCTCTCTCTCTCTCTCTCTCTCTCTCTCTCTCTCTCTCTCTCTCATGCTCACACACTCACCCTTCAATCGCCTGAGCTCTGCAATGGAGCCGTGGGTGAACACGCCCCCCTTCTTCAGGTGAGTAACCTCCGACCACTTGATCCGCCCATCCCGCTTCGAAACCTGTTGAATCGAAGCACACACCAACAGTACATTCATCAACGGTAGTAGCTCTTATCACTTATCACATCGACAAGTTAATCATAGGCGGTGACTGACGTACTCAAGCTCCTAGAAGACATGTTGACAAAAGTTATGTAGTCAAAGACGATGACTGACACCATCAAGCTCCTTCAAAAACAAAACAAAGGAAACAAGCCAAAACTCTGAATTATCGCGGTAGTTGTTGCAGTGCTGCAGCGCTCACGAGTCGGAACGGACGTGAGCCCGTGTAGAACAACGGCTTGGAAGCCCCCACGCCGATGAAGTCGAAGAGATCGTTCCACGTGGGCCCCAGCATGTGCTCCATGCCGGCATTGACGAACCGCCAAGGGCTGTTGGACGAAACTGTGATGTCGTCAGCGACCAAACATTCATCGATTGTTGGCGAGGACGCAGACCGCACGCACAACAGAGAGGAAGGGAAACAGGAGCACACGACGGAAAACTTTAGGGGCACGGGACGTGCTGCGCTGCTGCGGTCTACATAGGCCTGTTTGCTTTACTATCGCTACCGCTCTCCTTTGTTTCGAGAAACTCACGAGAAAAAAGGGCAACTTTCGCGTTGGCATAAGCGGACAGAATGTGGGCGATTCCCACCCAGAAACACAAGTGGTAGTGTGAAACCAGGCGGGGGGGGGGGGGGGGGGTTAGAGGGGCATGAGGCGATCTAGTTGGGCCAGAGTGGGGCGGTGTGAACGAGATGCTTCATATACGCCGGCTTTGACACGAACTTCCCAATGTTATGCATCTCTACCGTTGATCAACTGCGGGGATGGGGCTCGAAGCACAGCTACCAGCTAGCCGTATGCCCGGAAGACCCACTACTGTTGCGCTTTGAGAGACCTGATAAAAATAAGTGGGATGGCTAAGCATGAATGAAACAAGGCTAAACTAGCAGCAGTACAGGTGAGGAAGGCACTGCCTGTTACCTACACTAACTCACTGAAGAGCTTCTTCCCGGCATCTTTTAGCGTTCGTAGCATGTGCTCCAGCCGGTAGCTCGGTTGAATGAATCTGTGCCACCGTCACCGCCGTCCGTGTTGCGGTGCGACGCAGAACGGAAGAGTCACCAGGTCCCCCCCCCCCCCCGCCGGCCCGTCGAAGTTTTGTCAACAAATACAGGGCCGAAGAAAGGAAAGAAGGTACACAAAATACAGAAAAAATGAACGAAAAGGTGGTCGATAACAAGGGGGGGGAATCAGCCAGCAGCCAAGTTACGACCAGAGAATCAATCCATGTGAGTGCTTCACTACATCTTCAGTGGTGCCCGATAGGTGGGACAGCCAGCATCTCATTTGAGAGCATGCTGTTTGGACAGCGTGGATAAGACTGCTTGAAGCGGTACGACCGAGCCCACTCGAGGGGTAGGGCCTCGTTTTGCGTCTTACTCGCCGAGCTGTATTCATGCACCGCAGAAAAAACACACACAAGAACACAAAAGGAATTCAGCAACAGCATTAGCGAGTGCATCCTGCGCCATGCATCTATGTAGTTGAGGCGTTGAACACCCCCACCATACGGTTGTCGCATCGTCAAGGGAGCCTACGAACACGAAAAAACATAAACGCAGTCCCCCCCCGTCCCCAACCTGTATATGCCTATGCTTACGTTCTTGGACCGCATCCCACCTCCTCCTGTTGACTCGCCGATCTAAATAAACTGCAGTATCGTACGTCACGGCTCTAGGCTCACCCCACGGTTACGACCACGTCTCCATCATCATCGACCGAGGCGCGACACGGTCCGGACGGGGCAGGGTCTACTCTATCCTACAAGCAACGACAAAGCAGATACACCTCTCCGCTCGCAGCTGTCGCCGCTGCAAAATCGCCCCCCGAACAAAATCCCGTGCCCTCTCTGTGAACCGCGTTTTGTAGCATGCGCTACAGCTACAGCAGTGGTATGCCTTACGAAATAATCCCGGTTCCCACCTGCCGATGTCTCCCAGCACCGCCTCGTGCATCTTCCCCGAAACGTGGACGTGGGTCACGGCCGCCAGGACATCCTCGACAACAGCCCTGGACAGGAGCCAAGAGGTTCGATGGCGGAGGGCCGACTCAGTGTGTTGCTCTTAGCTCTTCTTGAGGCCCAACACGCGCGATGGGGTTGGGACCAGTGTCTGAACTGATTTTGTTCCAGAACAGAGTGTCCTCTTATCCCCGAAAAAGCAGCGACGAAGCGTTCCATGGGGGGGGGGGGCAACACGCGGGGCTTTCAGCCAACCCACAACAGTGCCCGTGCTCCTTGGAAGGCCGCCTGAATCGAGGCAAGGGTGAAACGGCCGGCCATTTCTTTCTCCCGCTCGCTGTCCTTGGGCGAGAAAAAATTTTGAGGAAGATCGACATAGTTCGTGTGGCCGTGGACAGCAACAGCAACAACAGCAACAACAACAACAACAACCAACCAATCGTGTACCAAATCAACAATCAATCAATCAATCAATCAATCAATCGATCAACCGTGTACATAAATTGTATGTAGCATACCTGGGGTGGAAGGCCTTCTTTCCGGCCGCGGCTTGCAGGTGCTCCATCACGTCCGCGAGAAGGCACCCCTCCGCCAGGCAGAAGCGGTCGTTCAGAGGCTTGAGCTGCTTCCTGCGGTAGCCCGGGGACACCATCTTCGGGTAGGACCCGTACTCCGCCTGTTGTTGCCGCAATATCGCAGTATTGCAACAAGAACCACGGCGACGACAACGGTCGGGTCGTAACAAAGAGGAAATGGCGTCGAAACGTTATACTTGTAATAGTAGACGGTGCATGTCACCAGGTTTTCCGTTCGGTTGTTATTGAGAAGCAAGGAAGAAAGTGTCGAAACATTCCTTCTTCACCCAGTTCATGGTGCAAGTTACCAGGTGCTCCGTTCGGTTGCTTAGAAGCGAAGAGTGCTGTGGCCGTTCCCCGCCTCAGCACCGGGCAGAGCAAAAAAAAACTCGTTCAACCGCTTGTTGTCGCGATGGTGTCCATGCACAAACAAGCGCGATTGGTGCGCGCAAGACTTGGTTTGGTCACTCCTTTCTTCCAACACTGCTTGCTGTTTTCTTAGTTTCTCTCTCAGTGTGCAAAAACTAACACTGTCTGAGCAGTGCAGAGGCAACACCACGAGAGGCCGACAAACTCGTCAAGCAAAAAGAGAAAGACAACACGCATGCACACACACCTCTATTTCCTCGCGACTGAGAGCGGTTCTCCCCCGATACACCGGCATGGATATACGGTTGATGTAAGACAGCTTGAAGAGAAGGCCCTTGTCCATGTCGACCGTCAGTCCCTATGGATGCGAACCAATCAGTAGAAGGAAAGAAAGCACACCAATCAAAAGACACGCACGCTCTAGAACCACGACACGGGGCTCTAGAACCGCGAAATGACAGCAGAAAGGACCGCAAGGAGTGGGGGGCAAAGACGATCAGCGTTTTCGATCAGCAGCATTAAAAGCTTCTCGTGCCAGATTACAACCTTGAGCATAAGGCTGAACGTCAGGTACGTACAACCAACGGGCAATATGTGTAGCAGCGACGGTGTTGCACAGGACTCTCTGCTCTACAGGAGGAGGAGGCGAGGGCTGCTCGTTTTCTGCCGATTGTTTGTCTCTTCGATACAGTTTCGACACCAAAGAACCAGCGGCGTTTATCCCTATACTTGCTGCAAACGGTGGACACGTGATACAGAACGCAGCGCATAATAGCCCTCGGCAGCAGTTTTTGCGTTTGTATGTAGGTGTGGGGTCCACACACAGCAGGACACGCGCCGCCGAGCTATGCATACACATGTACACAAAACCAAACCTGAGAGAAAACAACGACCTGCCTCTTTCATGACCGACTATACCGCATCTCCCCTGCTACTCACCATGATAGCAAAGTCCGGGTCGTACTCCATCTCCATGAGACTCGGGGGGTACTTGAGCTCCTCCACCAGGTGCTCCTTCGCCAGGTCGTAAATCAGAACTGGTTTTCGCGGTTGTTACATTCCGCAACCCCCAGGGCAGTGCACACCATACAATCAAGCACGGGTGCAAGGCAGGGCAAAGCACGCCATACAATCAAGCACGGGTCCAAGGTACGTACAAAGGTGTATCAAAACACACAGCAGACAGCAGGGGGCGAAACTTCAAGCACAAAAAGTGAGTGAGAGGGCGCAGGGCACTGCGGGGTAGAAAAAAGGTAGGAAACACGAACATGGTCTTCCTTATCGATCGCTGCGAGACGAAGGTAAACGGACGGGCTGTGGAATGGACTTTTCCGTGCGGGGGATTCGCTATATACGTGCGAATGATGACACGAGGGCGGTCGGATTTGGAGGTGGTGCTGGTGGAGGTGCGATGTCCTGAAGTTCAGCAAAACATGAACAATTGACCTGAATCTCGGAAAACCATTAGGATCAATCATAGTCAAATACTGCTGCTGCTGTGCTGCTGCCCTTAACCGCGACTGGGACACACAACTAGTACAATCTCAAATCGATCAAATCCTAGGCGGCACCCCGTGTTTGCTGCTCCTCAAAGCTGCTATCTCTGCTACTCCTCTCCTTCTCTCAAATGCACTTGCTTGTCTCTCGCCCAGCGAGAGCACAAAAACTTTCTGACACCGAGGCTGTCTCTATTTTTCTTCGATCCCCGCTTTTCCGAATTCCAACACGCCTCCACAAACCACAGATTCAAATACGTACTGAATCTTCACGAATCTCAGCCATGGGTATCGTCCAAGACCCGTCAACCAACGAGAGAACAAGAGGGAAGGAACTCGAAAAAAGTTTGGCACGAACGATCCATGCTGTGTGCATCCTAACACCCATCTCACACAGGTTCATAGGAAAACATACATGTTTTCATCATGATGATATTCTACACATGCTCACGACAGGTGATCCGCATTGTAACACCAACATATTAATCTCCTGTGCGTGGTACCCAGCTTAAGTAGGGATAACAGTCAACTGGGTCCAGAACCTTCTCTCCAAGCAGCCTACAAGGTGTATCTACACATGGGACACGAACAATTGTTCGACATGCATGCAAGAGGGATCACGGTTTCATCGTCAAGGCCATCTGTTCTTGTACTTCCCAGGACAGCAAATAACTCCAGCAAGATGTCGACAGATACAGCCCGGTATAGGCGTCATCCCCGGTTGATCGACATGGGCTTTTTCTCACTCAAAAAAAAAAAAAAATCGACTGCACTTATCGTTCCAAAACGCTCAAAAACGACGTTTAAAAAGTAGACCCCACAAAAAAAAGTTCTCCTTCGGCTCGAACTTTTTTTTGGGCCGCCTTCCCGAACTTTTTTTTTTTGGGCCTCCGCGGGAATCGATTCCGCTTGGTCGATTTAGGGGGGGTAGAGCCACTCAGAAAGTGGCCCCGACTCAAACCCACTTGGACAGAGGCACATCAAATTGGGTGAGGAGAGCTCTGGTTGAGACCTTTGGAGGGCCATCGCTAGCGCCGTGATGACTTTTTCCTATTTCTCACTTCGAAAACGTGTTCAGCAATGCTAAATCCACCATCCCTGAAAATTTCACACGAATCGGAGGTGTTTGAGGTTTCTCGGGGGGCCCGCGGAACCGACTTCCGGTCAATATTTGCCATTTTGGGCCCTTTTTTACCCACTAAATCGTGAGCGATTCCGCTCCATGGTCACCAAACTCACAACAGATGGTAACATTTTCGTAATCCCCATGACCTTACGGAAGCTTGTGCAAATTTTCAGACCTTAGCCGGGGATGCTTCGTCGCCATCCCCCCCTTTCAAAAAATCCATGTCGATCAACCGCGGATGACGTCTAGTAGAGTTCTTGATGTGGGTTGTTGTGTTGACATGAAACCGTTCCGGTCCAACTGACGCGGACGCCTTGGTGGTATTTTTTTTTTTATTTATTTAATTATTTTTTCGGTGGTATCACTGGCCTCTAAGTGCGCAAGTAGACTCTACTAAGACCCCCAGGTGTTGGAAAGACTTTAAATCGCCGGAACACATCATCCCTTTCTGAGAATAATACCGCACGGAGTATATCCGCGATGTTCCAATAATAATCTATCTATGCGCATGTATAATGTGGTGATGCACGAGATTTTCAAGGATTCATGCACGCTGCTGTTGCTATCTACCGCTGGGTGTCTACCAGCGTAGGAGTACCAGACTCACCCTGCAAGCTTGGCTTGTCTGAAGAGCCCCACCGGCAGTAGCCACGTGTCCCATCAGCCCGTGTTCGTCCATCGTGGATGGATTCAACGAGTGCAGTGCCGTGCAACGCAGATCAACCAACGCACACAAGCGGTTCAAGTTGGCGACGAAGGTCAGCAAGACAAGGCACCTGCTACTTGTAACGTTGTCCCGTTCGCGTGATCGGCGTCGCAACGACTCTGTGTGCAGGCATCGTATATCCGCCTGTCAACAGTTCGCCGTGCACTCTCTGCCTACTGCTGTACGCTCCTTTTGGCGAACACGGCCGCTGTGTCTTGTTGGCCAGGCCCGGTAGACAGACAGGTTGCAGCAGCAACTACTGTAAATAACACTCGACCAGTGGGCGCGCATGAGGCGACCCTCTGCTGTCACCCTTCCCAAAAAACGAATTACACCCAACACAAGAACAAAAAACGACACAGCAACAACAAGCAAACCTGCTGCTATGTAAACGTAGGATTTCGGCGAAGAACGCACATGTCGCCAGCGTGTAATCGTAGTCAAAGCCGACGACCTCGACCCGACTGAGGTCAACATTGGTGTTAGAGAACACGGCCCTCGACGGACTCCGTCGATCGGATGGGCCAAAAACGGGCAGCACGGACGGATCCACCTCGCCCTCGCAGAGCCTCGTGTAGCGGTCGAGCAGGACCTGGATATCCGGGTTGGAGTGGCGCAGGGGCGTACCCTCTTCCAGCGCCAGCTGTTGCGAGGGCTCGAGCTTCACGCTTCCGTTGAGCCCTTCCCGAGGCGGCGCCTGCGCGGCGGGTTGCTGCGCTGGGTGCGGGGTCGGAGGTGCAGCAATCGGCCACGACACTTGTCTCGGAACAGGCTGCTCGTTGGAAATCGAGCAGAAAAGCCTCTGCCAAGGCCTGGAGCGGAGGCCCCTGCGGTTCCTCCCGGCTGCAGCCGCGCGTGGTGGCCTGACCTGGACTCGAAAGGCGGACCTCTCTGCCAGTGCTGCGCAGCAAGTACCACCGCGGCCGGATTTCAACATGTTTTTTATGAAGAAGCCTGAAAGGGACTGGGGTAGCACTAAGGGAGCAACACGCATGGGAGGTCTCTCCCGGTCGAGTCCTGTTGATGTACTGCCTAGTACATCATCCGTCCGCACGGCAAAGCGTGAAAGCGTTGCTGCGCTTCCTCACTCTTGCACTTTCGGAGCATTTCCAACCATCGGAGGAGGCCCCGCAATAGCAGTGAACCAGGCCAAGGTACGCCCGAGTAATGTAGGTCCGATGGTCCGATCGATACATATGATTCGTCGATTTGAATAATTGTTGCTCCGCGTTTTAGGTTGGGTCACGATATCTTGCCTCGAGATAGGTGTCGGCACAGACATGGGTGTTTTGTTATCTTGTATCTGTCCGGGGGAGGTGACATTTGAAGCGTGCTGTTGTACGCTTCCTCTAGGTATATTCCATATTGTGCACTCAAGTACAGTATCTACTGCAGCATGTATCATAGACTATGCAGTTGTCAAAAATCGAACAGGCTCCACACCATTGCTGTAGGTACCTATAACCGGTACACACCTATTTGGTCTGGATGTGCATGCGGCAATAGGAAATGTAACAACAGCTGGCTTGGTGAACTCACACCTAGCTGGTAGACCGACTTTCTTGCTTCCCGCCGAGAACCGCGCTAGGCGCGCCGAGCGACACAGAATGATAGTCTAAGCACAACACATTCGAGCGGAGAGTCCCACGGGGGCTTATCTCGAAAGCCTCAGCAGCAGCAGCAGCAGCAGCTAGCGTAGCAGAATTTTGTGTGCAGTTCCGTGCGGAACTTGCTGGAAGAAGCATGACCGGTCGGTGCGTGTGCTCGCAGCTCGCATCCAAATAAGTGACCGATCGGCGCACTCCATGCCGATGGCTTAACGACCGTTTTCCCCGCCTGTGGTGGTCAAGGCAATATATACACAACCAGCGGAGCGATTCCTCTGAGAAACAGAGGCATTCGCATGTTCACATCGCTAAATACATGCGCCCAAAACTCGTCTGAATTCAAAATGGTGTGGGGTGTGGGGGTCTCCAACTCGATTGCTTGTTGTTCGGAAAGAAGGCATATACTGCTGTATGCATACGACGACATCACGACATCAGGACGCTGGGCTATGACGGCTTCGCAAGGCCAGGACGCGAGAGATTCGTTTACGAAAAAGGCTTCATCGCTCCCTAGAGAGTGCTACATTGCAGGACATGGCCTAGATATACATACATCACCGCGCTAACCGGTAGAGCAATGAAAAAACGCAAACCGTGAATAAAGCGGGTGCAAATCAACCAGTACTCTCACCAGTCAAATGGAGGAGGCGCACGGGAAGATCTAGTCCAGAGAACGTGCCATTTGCAGTTTGCCCCGCAGAGAAAACAGCAATAAACTCAGGTGCTCCCGAACCAAGCACGCAAGAGAATACTTTCAAATACAAAACAACTATTGGAGGCAAATGTCAAAATGTCCCTCCCATCAGTCGGAACCCGCCAATCCACAGAAGTATGGTAACGACACATGAAAGCAAGCATGGCACATATGACACAATCAAACCAACAACGAAGTAATCTGTCCTGCGGGATATGGAAAAGAAACCAACTCTCATCCCTGTTCCCGTTTGGGTTCGCAGGGGGGCGAGCAGAAGACGGGAGGAGTTACGGAGAAGAAGTCAATACGCCCATCTCTACACGGCGCGAACCATTTAGCCGACTAGCTGTCGGCATAGCACTCCAGCTTGTGGGTGGGCCAGTGCTGCTTCTGGCATTCCCGCGAGCAATCTGAGGACGGAAAAAGGAGAGTGGACGGGCGGGCGAACAGATGCATGCGTCGTCGGGTGCGCCGCGCATATCCGAGTCAACGACACGAAAACACCCATGAGCAACACCATGTTTTGTTGATTCCGAGTAGGGCAATCACTCCCTCAGTTAGCCACCGATGACACCTTGCAATGGCATGTAGCAGCCGTGTCAAGCTTTAGGAGGTTCGACTGCTACGTAGAGCCTATCAACCTAGGTGCCGTGTACACCAGTGTGCATGTCTGTTTGTCATCACAACAGGAAGTTCGTGCACGTGGAGTGGCTACTCGTGTCGATCTTGGTTAAGGACAAAGGGAAAATTTTAGAGGGTAACGAATAGGGTACGGCGCGATTGGACACCTTGCTCTCTCGCTTGAAGGCTAAGGAAAAAACCCTCTTACAGCGTAGAGGGGAATATGGTTGGGTAAAGGTATAGGGCATGACTTCCTTCAGTCTTTGTTCTCACATCTGACGATCTTGCACCTCGTGCACCTCTTTTGGGCATTTGGCTTCTGGCATACCGGGCAAGGGGGGTCCGCCGGGAGGCCTGGAAGCAGACGCATGCATAGCGCAGCAGGCAAGAAATGCCGACAAAACAAACAGAGGGGGGGGTGCATTGCAGTTAGTGGGCATGCCGGGGGGAGGGGGTGGGGCACCGGCGAGGCGGTTGTGTTGAACTCTTGGTACAAAACCCACGGTTTCACGGGTATCCGGCTCTCTTCGTAGATACCATGATGCCTTCGTTGCGGAGGTTCTGCTCAGAAATTTGGTTGGCTGAATGCGTTCGGCGAGCAAAGGGGGGCGCGGGGGAGAGAGAGAAACGCGGCCAAAACACATACGGTACAACAGTATGGAGACAACGGCTAAGAGACGAAGAACAACAACAAGGAGGTACCACTCGTCGACACAAGTCCGCCACTACGAGCTGCAACCTGTGACGGAGACACGGCCTGTGTACAGCGTTCCCGACATCAGAAACCAGAACATATCCTGTGGTACATGTTAACCCTTCTGTGGACTCGCGAGAACTCCGGAAATGGAAACCGCCAAACGAGAACGGACAAGACGCGGCGCGAACAAAGCCATCGTCAAGATTAGATTAGATTGGGCTGCTGCACGGACGACCAGACAAGACTAGACAACACAGGATACCGCCACACGGCACCACTATTAATAAGACACAACACAACCGCCAAAAAACACTCGCGAGACTCGGAATGAAAGAGAAGAGTCATCCATGCACGATGATCAAGAAAAACAACACAAAAAAAAACGAGAAAACCCTGCGCGGCGGGTGCAAACAGCAGCAGTGCCATTTGCAGCAAAAAACTGACCAATCTATATTAACCAACGATTGTAGAGGGGGTATTTTTTACCTTGCTGGACTCGCTCGAACTTGACCCACTCGAACGTGGTGGCGGGCATCCTGCCCAACCCGGCCTTGGCCAGAACGCGGCGTGTCTCCTCGTCCAGTCCCACCAAGGAGACAGCGGTGGCGGTGGCGGAGGGCTTGCCGTTGGCGTAGCCGCTGTCGTTGCCTTCGACTTCGCCGAAGGCGTTCGCCGCCGAAGGGGAAACGGAACCTGAGAAACAATCGCAGACAAATGTGGTTCAGAATGACGCAAACGTTTCGCAAGCAGCAGCAGCAGCAGCAGCAGCAGCAGCAGCAGCAGCAAAACGCGGGTAGCAAGGAGGTCGTCCGCGGCTGCGGCGGTGGCGGCTACCCTGGTGTTCGCTTTTGCCATCGACCGTCGCTGAAAGACACCCCACCTTTCCCCCGTCCTCTCGTTCGCTCTTGTCCTTTTACCACGTTTTCTCGTCGCTGGCGTTGGTCATCACACTCCCTTTGGCGCACTTTTTCGTCTCTCCCCCTTCTCTTTGCCCATTCACTCCTTTTCTCACTAGCTTCCTCTTCATCTCGCTACACCTTTCCCTCCTCCCGTCGTCTCCCATGCCTCTTCAGTCTCTACCTCTGTAGATGTACTCCCTTCGCATACGTGTCGCTGTCTGTCTGTGTGCCAGATAGTCCATCTGTCTGTCGGTGTGCAGCTGCCGCCGCTCCTTACCTAAAGGTTGGTTCGCGACACCGCCGCCTCGCTCTTGCACGGCCGCCACCGGTACGGACTGTCCAATCAGTATCGTCCGTCCAATCAGCAGCGTCGGTCGTGACATGTCGGGATGTCGTTGTGAAACAGCAAAGGTGCCAGGACACACCACAAGAGCAGACAAGTAAGACAAGAGCGTCAGGACGGACTGCTGCAAACACAACAGACCTAGAATAGGCGAAGAAAAAGGCTGGTACAACAAAACCAAGCGGGCGTCAAAAAGCATGCTTAGAACTAGAACGATCCCCATTCAGTGTCACAGAATCAAAAAAACCATATGCGGGAATACATCACGGACAAAATACAAAACAATTAACAAAAAAACAACAAGTGTCAACGAAACGGGGAATGACGCTCAACCAACAACCCTGCGCAAAACCATGCGCCAGAACAAATGACATAGCTCAGCGTAAAAAACTAAGAATCAGAAGTAGCGTCGCGTGGCGCGCACTGGCAAGTTATTCGCTCAATAATTGAATGAAGTTTTTTTTCAGCACTAAGATCCTGCTGTTTGGGAAGCTCACACCGGGTCGCTCGCTGAGACATCTATCCCGCGCAAAAGCGCGCTCCGTCACCCGGATGTTCTGTCGGTGGGCACATGTTCCACCTCCTTGCTGATCGACACTTGTAGCCACTATTACGTGCGTGCGGTTTGTCGTTTTGAGTCCCAGTCCGAGGAAACGACAAAAAGAAGAAAAATATCAAAAACACAAGGCGCATTATTCAACAATACCTCACCTCAACGATGTTGCCGACCCCCCTGATTGGCCCGTTGTACGACAGCATTGCGCCGGAGCTCTGCCCCACCGGCTTCTTCAGGTGCGCGAAGCCGCCGCGGTCTCCTCCCTCATCGTCCACGAGAGCCTTGGACTTGAGACGGAGGCCTTCGACGTCGTCTACCGCGATGAGGGTCGGCAGCACGGCGTGGTAGAGCCTGGGCAGCACCTCCGCTCGTCCGCTGTCTCTTAGGCCTTTCACGAGCGAGGGAGAGATGTCCTGCGAGACCCGAGCGAGAAAAACAAGCACACCCGCGCGATGGGGGGGGGGGGGGTCAGTCCCTGTGTGTATGACATGACAGCGAGAGAAACAGAAACAGAAACAGAAATGCATACAAGTAAATAATGGAAGGGTGAAAAATTGGTGTGACGGATATTTAATCGGCCAGGCGGGTAGCGCGGTCGATGCCTCCTCAGGAAGGAACACACCCAGTCACACACATCGACCCCGTACGCGTTTCCCCCCCCCCCCCGTCGAGGGAAGGATG